CCGGGATCACCCCGTGATCAGGCGGGATCAGCCAAGATCACCCAGGATCAGCCGGGATCAGCCGGGATCAGCCGGGATCAGCCTGGGATCAGATGGGATCAGCCGGGATCAGCCCGGGATCAGATGGGATCAGCCGGGATCAGCCCGGGATCAGATGGGATCAGCCGGGATCAGCCGGGATCAGCTGGGATAGCGGGGATCAGCCCGGATCAGCCCGGGATCAGATGGGATCAGCCGGGATCAGGGATCCATCCCTGCCCAGGTGCGACCCACCCCAGCCTCACCTGGCCGCTCCCTCCCCGTGCCTTTGCTCTCGGCAAACCTCCGGAGCAGCATCTCCGTGCCGATGTTCTCCACGTTCTGCTTGAACTCCTCGTGGACCTGGGGGGAGAAGGAAGGGAAAGGCGCCTGGAATAAGGAGGGAAAATGGGAATGGGGAGGGGCTCACTCACCTGGGGACTCACCTGGCCGATCTGGACGTGGGTGTCCTCCACGGAGTGGGAGTAGGAGCCGATGAGCCCCTTCATGTGCCGCAGGTGGGCTTCTTCCACCTCCTGGAAGCGCTGGAGCGGGGAAAAATGGGAGGTCAGGACAGGGGGATATCCCCAGGGATCGGCAGGTGGGCAGGGAAGGGGGTTTGGGAGGGGTGGGATGGCCCCAGGTGGGATTTCCCCATCCCATCGATGCCCATCTCTTCCCAAATCCCATCAATTCCCATCTCTTCCCAAATCCCATCAATTCCCATCTCTTCCCAAATCCCATCAATACCATCCCTTTCCCAAATCCCATCAATGCCATCCCTGCCCAAATCCCATTGCTGCCCATCCCTTTCCCAAATCCCTTTCCCAATTCCCATCGCTGCCCATCACTTTCCCCATCCCATCCCTTTCCAATTCCCATCCCTTTCCCCATCCCTTTCCCAATTCCCAGTTCCATTTCCCCATCCCTTTCCCAATTCCATTTCCCCATCCCTTTCCCAATTCCCAATTCCATTTCCCCATCCCTTTCCCATTTCCATTTCCCCATCCCTTTCCCATTTCCATTTCCCCATCCCTTTCCCAATTCCATTTCCCCATCCCTTTCCCAATTCCCAATTCCACTTCCCCACCCCTTTCCCATTTCCATTTCCCCATCCCTTTCCCAATTCCCATTTCCCCATCCCTTTCCCAATTCCCTTTCCCCATCCCTTTCCCAATTCCATTTCCCCATCCCTTTCCCAATTCCCATTTCCATTTCCCCATCCCTTTCCCAGTTCCATTTCCCCATCCCTTTCCCAATTCCATTTCCCCATCCCTTTCCCAATTCCCATTTCCATTTCCCCATCCCTTTCCCAGTTCCATTTCCCCATCCCTTTCCCAATTCCATTTCCCCATCCCTTTCCCAATTCCCATTTCCATTTCCCCATCCCTTTCCCAATTCCCATTTCCATTTCCCCATCCCTTTCCCAATTCCCAGTTCCCTTTCCCCACCCCTCTCCCCACGCTGCCAGCGCTGCCCACCATGGCCGAGTCCAGCATGCGCTGCTCGAAGTCGGCGCGGGCCGCGTTGTATTTGTCCACCGCCCTCCGCAGCGCCTCGCCCGCCTTCCGCGACTTCAGCTCCGCCTGTGCCAGCAGCCGGGGACAGCCGGGACACGGGGGACAGCCAGGGACCAGCCAGGGGACAGGGGACATCCAGGGGAATGACAGGGATCATCAGGAACAGGACAGGAACCATCCAGGGGACAGCCAGGACACGGGGGACAGCCAGGGACCAGCCAGGGGACAGCGGGAGAATGACAGGGATCGTCAGGGACCATCCAGGGACCAGCCAGGGGACAGGGGACATCCAGGGGAATGACAGGGATCATCAGGAACAGGACAGGAACCATCCAGGGGACAGCCAGGACACGGGGGACAGCCGGGACAATGACAGGGATCATCAGGAATGGGACAGGAACCACCCAGGGGGAAGAGGAACCATCCGGGATTTTGATGAGGATTGTTGGGGCGGGGACAAGGAATCATCCACGAGAATGACAGGGATCATCAGGGAGGGGACAGGGACCATCCTGGAGAATCAGGGACCATCAGGAAAGGGACAGAGACCATTCAGGGGGGACAGGGACCACCCATGAGGAAAACAGGAGCCATCAGGAAGGGGCTAGGGACCTCCTAGGAGGGGACAGGGACACCAGGGAGGGGACAGGGACACCAGGGAGGGGACAGGGACACCCTGGGAGGGGACAGGGACACAACGGAGGGGACAGGGACACAACGGAGGGGACAGGGACACCAGGGAGGGGACAGGGACACAACGGAGGGGACAGGGACACCAGGGAGGGGACAGGGACACAACGGAGGGGCAAGGGACACCAGGGAGGGGGCAGGGACACC